TTTTAAAAAGAGAAGGTGGTGCACAAAGCCACTCCCTGCTTTATTGTTTGGAAACGCAAGATCAGTGGGGTGCCCCGTTTTAAACAAGAAGCAGCTATTATTCTTTTTAGGGTAGAGGAGGTTGCTGTATTGTGCATGAGAAACGCTTTCATTAAATCCGGAAAGTGCTGTTTAGCAGAGAGATCATGGGTACAATCCATCAGGAATCACACCAAACTCGCTCAGTCAGCAGAGCTAGGAACTTTGGAAAGATGTCCTGTTGGGTCGCTGATGGATCTGGCGGCTTCCCTGGTGTGGTGCAGAGAAATCTGTTTCTTAGGTCAGGGCCTGTCCATGGATCGCAGTCTTTGTTCAAGCCAGAGCAAATGTTTAGAGAGCTATCTGCCAACCCACTGGACAAATGCAAGATCTCTTGAAATGCAAGCAAGGTGCCTTCCAGCCGTTGAAATGTCATTTGGATTTAAACCCACAGCTAGGCTCACTCCTTTGATGGAGAAAGGGAACGGGACAGAAACTGTAGTCAACATGTTTGGCTGGTTTCTCCATACAGCATTCCCCAACCAGTATCCTCCAAGTATTAACTAGCAGTGATAAAAGGGGATAAGACAAATTCAAGGAGGAAAAGGGACAATGGGTATTGCACAAGCTGGCTGGAGGTCCAGCATCAGAGGTGGCTTCCCACTGTATATCAGAGACCAGGAAGCATTGTGCTCCTGTCCAGTTTGTGGACTTCCACTGGAGTAACTGAGTGGCCACTCTGGGAGGAGGATAATGGAGCAGGTCAGCCTTTGGCCTGATTCAGCACTTCTCTTTGTTCTGCTCTTACCACTTGGAGATGCTGTGATATCAAGCTGTATGCAAACATCATTAATAACAAAGAAACAAATCTTATACTCATGCTGACTAGGGATGATAGGAGTTCTGAGACAGGACATCTGAAGACTGCCACACTGAGGAAGGCTGGGAATGCTCCAGGAAGTATGAGGTGGGCAGATGAATTTGTGTTGCTCCAACTGCCATGAAATTTCTGAGTTTTAATTTTCTGTGAAAGCCATCCGTTTGTTTTAAATATGTATTGCAGTAAGTTCTTGTTGCCTTTAAAGAGTGGGATTCTAAACACCCAGAAGCATCAGCGCCACACCAAGCAGTCCTAAGGATGTCTGCTCTGAAGTAAGTCCTACTGAGTTCAGTGGGCATTCTCCCCAGTGAGTATAGGACTACAGCCCAGGGAGATGCACAGGGCCTGCCTTGCTGGATGAGATACCTCTGAGATGCTTACAAGCAGGGCATGGTCATTCCTTGTTTTCCCCAAGGCAAATTATCCCTGTACTGGAGGATCCATTTGGAGCGCAAGGATAATGGCTACTGAGGATAAGCCTCAATGCATTTCCTTTGCTCCTATTTTGAAGCTGTTGTTTAAACTAGGGGACAACTGTGTTACTCACCTGCTTAAATAGGCAACCTGAAGTTCATTTAACTCAAAGTATTAAGATGCCCACCAAAAGCAACTTGTTCATGGCTTTCAGTTCCACCTGTGTCAGTAAGTTGATGCTGGTCCCTGAAAAGAAGTCATTTAGATACTCTGATGTCTTTTGCTGAACTGTGCAGGGAGTTGAACAGGATGTGCATTTGGATTGGAGGAACCACTCTTCCTTCAGGGAGTTTCCTCTGAGTCCCTCACATGGATTCCCAATTTACTATAGACACTCATCATCAGACACGGCAGAAAATCTCCCACAGGACAAGAGTGAGCAGTGGGCAAAACATACATGCAGACCTAGCTGCTACCTTCCTTTGTCATACAAACAGAAAATGGTGTTCAAATAATTTTCTAGGCCAGGCTTATGCCATTTCTAGACTCAGCCTATGTCACCAGCCAGAATTTTTCCTCACTTAAGGGGCTGGGGGTGGAACAAAATAATGCTCTTTCCTGAATGAATATAGATGCGGAGGGTGAGACTGCTTAATTGTCCATGGACTGCATAGGAGGCCAATGTGACAAAACCCCTGTCAAAATTGCAGTGAGAGGAAAAGCAAATGAATACCTAGATAGAGGAGTTTAAAGGACCTCAGGACTTTGGGGCAGTATTCCAGAGCCTCACTTTGCAGAAGCAGCAGGGGGTCCCCAAAACACACCAGGACTGATTTACCACAATTTGAAGGAAGTCAAATAAAACGCATTACTGCGAGGTGTGTGTAAGGGGAATAAGACATCTGAGTGGACACTCTTGGTGAACCCACTGAAATTGGTCTGACCCAGTCCTATTGATTTCAGTGGGCTTACTAAGGAATGATTAGGACTGGATGGAACCCATTGTCCAGAGCCTAAGGCACAACCCTGTGCATGTTTAGTCAAGCGAAAAGTCCTACAATTCCCAGCATGGCTGGCTGAGGAATGCTGGGAGTCGAAGGGCTTTCCCCCCTGCCAATACATGCATAGAATTTCTCCCTAAAACTATCTCACTGCACTCCTGAAATTGAGCTTTTGTGTGTTTGTTTACCTGCCAATGTCCAATTAGTTTTATTTTCCAAAACACAATTCCAATATTAAGATAAATTATGAATAAAATATAAGTAATGCAGTCAGACATCTGCATGGACCTATCCCCACGCTTCCACCTTCACCTTGTGTTTTTGCTGCTATGTTTTGTTATACAATACGCAGGGAGTTCCATGGGCTGGAGTGTTGGTATATTCCGCATATGAAAAGAAAGCGCACATTTGCCATATACATTTTATTGAAAAACCAAAACAAACCATACCCACCCCAACAACTTTGTACATCACAATATTTTGACAAACTGACAAATGTTATACATAAGTGCAAATTATACTCTCCGGTTTAAAAGCAATAGTGTGTGAGTATATACGAGATTTAATTCATTTTTTCTTTAAAAAAACTGTGATATAAACACTTTAAAAACAAACAAACAACAACAACAAAAAGAATGGAAACTAACTCCTGGCCATAATATTGGTGTAATATTTGAAAGCAAAATGAACCGACCAAATCTGGCAACTTTCTTGAAATCTACACACACCACAAAATCTAAAATGATGCTTCTTAATACTGATTGATGCTGTTGAGCTGACGTCATGTATCACATGTTGAAAAGAGCAGACAGTTAACATTGAAACCATGACAGCTACAGAGAAAGCCTTGCACATGTATATAAGGGGATGCAGGAAATGTTGCTGTACAAGCCAGTTCATATGAACAACATCCCCAAAAATGGTTCTTTGGGTACCAGCAAATAAAAAGACATCCAAATATAATCCCCCCCACTCTACTGTTTAAAGCTAGGGTCACAATCCAGTTAAATATAAGCATTTTCATCTCCAATTGATTTTAGTGAGAAAGTTTGGTTTCAAACCTATGTAAGGAGAAAACAAAACATATGCCACAATAAATATGTTAGTGTTTAAGGGCCCCGAGATCCTTTGTTTTGTTCTCCTCCAGCAGCCCAATACACAGCTACCACTCTGAAAATCATTGAACTTGTCAGGGCTTACTTTCCAGTAAATATGCATGAGATTGGACTGTCAAGCACATGTCTTCAAATTTCTTCCATCAAAATGGAAAGGGACTTTAACAAAGCTATTCTACGGAAGCTTAGACAGGGGAAAAAAAAAAAAGCCCTACAACTCCCAGCATGGGGAATGCTGGAAGTTGTGGAACTTCTTTTCCTGTTGAAATATGCATAGAATTGGGCCCTAAATGCAATTTATCTGGATCACAGCCTAAGTCAAACTCAGTGACTGCATGAGTTACACCAGGGCTGGCCCTGCCATTAAAGGCACAGTGAAGCTGCTGCCTCAGGCAGCAAGTTTTGATTGTCATGAAAAGGCAGCAAAGTGTGTGTTATTCAGTGTAGTCTTGTATTTTTAATTAATTTTTGTACCAAGTACAGGGAGGGGTGATTGTAGGGGTTTCTGCCTCATCTGCTGGAGTTGCTTGCTTGGAATTTGGTAAGATGACTTTGATTTGGGTGAAGGGCGTGTGTTATTTGCTGCTTGAACTCAGACAACAAATGTCTTAGACCAGCCCTGAGTAGCATATCAGTGTCTTCAGGTGCAAAAGATGGCTTTTTTATTTTAAAGGAAGAATTCTGTCCTATGAAAAAGCTGGCCAGCTCCAGTCCAAGTTGCTCTTTCCCAATATTTTTCTATGCATTGGATCCACATGGAATTATACTTAGGGGAGCCCCATGGAAATGGAATTTCAGTTAAGGGGCCATTTGAATCAATAGGTGTCCGCTACCTGTTAACTCTAGATCCAATTCGTGTTATCTTGTTCTTTTTTAAAAGAGGTAACAAGAAAGATGAAATGGATATCACAGGAACCTGGCTGACACTGCAGTAATCAAGATCTCCCCTTTTCCCCAAAGACATACACAAATAAATTCAGCCATACAAGTTGCAGAGCTAGGCCTGTGACTGCACGGAAGAAAGAAGGCCCCATGCTCAGTGAGATTTCTCCCCTAGGTTTTCATCCTCGATCTTTGCAAGGGTAGGGTTGCAAATGTCCCAGCACAATTTCCCTGGCAGTGGGGCCACTAACCCCTACGCAACTTTCTTCCAAGGAGACACATTGTGTAGAACCGCAATCCAGGGTACACTTTCTTGGGAAGAAGCCTGCTTGAAACCCGTGGGTTTGGTACCCTGCGTGTGTGTGGTTGGGCGGGTAGGGAGGCTGCGCTCATTTGCATGGGGACCAGAGATGGCGCCACGCGGGGTCTTGCATCCAGGGACGCCTGCGGGGATCTTGCTTCGCAAGAAAGCAGAACGCGGGGGGGGGGGGCTGTGCATTTGGGGCGGGGGCGCCACTCGGTGCTGCTTCCTTAGCTTTGCTTACGTGACGGGTGCTCTGTACTTACTAACGGAGGGCTGCGTGGAGCGCCGGTTCGTCGCGGCCTTCCTCCGCCGAGTTCGCCTCCGGTGGGGGCCGGAGAAAGTCTCTGCAGCAGCCGGTGTGCCGGTGCGGCCGGCAAGTCCGCGACTCACATCACGCAAGGCTTGATGTCTTGACAGACGCTTTGGTGGTGGTGGTGGTGGTGGTGGTGATAGTACGAGCCGCTGGCCGACGGGTGGAAGGAAGAGATGCCGTTGAAATTGAGGACGAAATCCTTCCTGTCGCACACCGGGGAAGGGTGGTGCTGGTATCGAGGCAGCCCCACTGCGGAGGAAGCGAGAAAGAGCGTGCGAATCTCCCGCCGGCTCGACGCGCTGCCCGTGAGCGCCGACAGCGAGGGCTGCGCAGGGCCCTAGCAGGCCCAGCGCGGGGACCAGGCCTGAGCGCCGCGCTCGCTCTCGGGCGGGTCCGCGCTCTGCCCCTAGCCTGCTTCGCAGACGCGTTGTGATCAGAAGAGGGTGGCCTTCTAGCACAAGAAGAAGGGGAACAGCTAGGCTCTAACGTTCTTTCCTCCCCAGTAAGCGACTTGCTTGCCCACTCTTCCTTCAAGGGAATGGATCCTGCAAATCTGACATTTAACCCAAGGTTACGCTGGGGCTCCTGGGGGTGCAATGCTAAACATTCCTGTGAAGACAGGGGTGAACCAAACAATGGGGACAGCAACAAAACCCACGGTGCTCTGGATTGTATGACAGGCCACACTCCTATGCCCAGCCCACCTGGGAGTAAAATCAAGTGAACTGAATTGGACTTCCTTATGAGTGGACATGCTCAAGGTGCAGGTGTGTGGGCTTTCATTAAAACAAAATAAACTGAAATTAAATTGTCTAAATATTTCTCTAGTTTCCTGTTAACCCAGCACAAATAAGAGATTAAATGCCGAAACCTCATGTTAATAATGACAAGGTCTGGCCACCTGGAATTCCACTCTTGGGATAACTTGGTTTGGACTATTCTTCATGCTCCCTGCCCCAAGAAAAAACTCTGTACATGTAATAATACATGGAGGTGGAGAAGAATACAATGCAGCTCTCTAAAAAGGAGGCGGTCCCACAGGAATCCATGCCTGACTCTACCCAGAGTGGCAATTAAGTGTTTCTGATTTGTTTGGAGTTGTTGTTTTTAACACCACAGGCCAAAATGTTGTGGTGATGGTGGGAGCTTGGAGGGAAGGCATAAAAACTTCTCAGTGTGAAACAGCAAGAATCCCAGGCAGAATCTGACCAAAGCCAAGTATTTCTACAGCCAGATCCAATGCTTGTTTACTTGGAAGAAAGTCCCTTTAAGTCCAATTGAGCTGACTTCTGAGTCAGTTTGCTTAGCGTTGCAGACATGCGAAATAAGTCAGTAGGAGAGTGGGGTATTTGCTTAAATTTCTCGTATTGGAGTCAAAGCGTCTTAGGGCACAATCCTAAGTGGCTTAGAGCAATGTCCTGTGCATGTTTGGACAGGAAAAAAGGCTTATAACTTCAAGCATTCTGAGAATTGCAGCCCCTTTTCCTCGCCAAACTTGCAGAAGATTGCACCTTTAAAAATGCTGAACTTACACTACATGTTTGGCCTAACCTTACACTGAATGACATTTTAATTAAGGCAGCCCCAGTGAAAGACTCGTTTCCCAGAAAAGGACCATAGCATTGGGCTAGAAGTACATTCGCAGTACAATCCTAAAATTCTGAGTAAATCCTGTTTACGCAGAAGGCAAGTTCAATGGGCATCCTCTCAAGTAAGCAGGCCTATGAATGCCCTGTAAATCAGGTTAAAAATGAGTGCCAATTGTCAGTCCTTCCAGTGCCTCTGCACTTAGGCCAAAAAGCCGGAGGACCAGAGATGATTTACTGTCAACTGTTCAGCCGGATGGCATCAGGTTTGCACTCACCATTGAAAAGCAAGAACAGACTTCCCCAGCTCAGTGCCCTGGAGATATTTTGGGCTTCGGTTCTCATCAGTACCAGTCTGCACTGGCCATTGGTTAGGAACTCCAGAACATCTTCAGGGCAGCAGGATGGGAAGGCTGTACCACAGTCTTAGGGAAAGCTCCAGCTGATTGGTTCCAGTGGTTTACTCAGAGGTAAATTCCAAGGCATTCAGTGGGTCATCTCTGGATAAGGCCACAGTCCTTTCCTGTCCAAGGTTGTCTTGGGTATGTATGGTTTGCAGACAGAGACTTGTATTGAAATCAGTTGGCCTTAAAACCAATAGCCTTAACTGGGGTAGGGATTGTGTTCTTATCCCATTTTCTTCTTAAAAGACCACTGAAAATTTCTACATGAGGTGTAAAAAATGCAGGAGGGGGCTGGGGAAGGAAGCTTATGAATCTAGCTGCAGCACTCCAGAGCTGGTCCTTCCCAAACCGGCTGCATGAGTTTTAACTCAAGGACCTAGATTTAAATAGTATTTCCTCCTTTTGCTGAACACTTTTAGCACAGCTAGTGGTCAGCAGTCTAGCCATCTGCCTTCAGGATTACTTAACTAGCAAGGCAATCCTACACCTGTCTATATAGAAGTGAGTTCTACAGACTTCAGTGGAGCTTATTCCAGGAGTGAATGATATAGGATTGCAAATTAAGTAAATTATCATAGACCTCAGTCCTCTCACATTCAGACTTTCTCAGACTCCAGGAGTGACCCCTAGCTTAGAGAAAGGAAGGGTTTGGTCTAAACACTGCCTAACAACTACCATGTTGAAGTAGTGCCCTTTGATTTTTCAGGGAATGGTACAGGCAGCATCCAGAGGTTCTCATGAGCTTGCTTGTCTGGGAGAAATGCTCAGAAAGAGGTGATCTTCTTGATATTTATTTGTGGCATCACTAAAGCACCCAAGGCAGCTTACAACAGGAAAAGCAAGAAGTAATGGGACCTGAAAAGTATTTCAAATCAAATCCTAGCCTATATATTATCCATAAACCTCCTGAAAGCTGAAGGTCTTGCAGGACAACCTGAGAGAGCCAGTGTGGTGTAGTGGTTAAGCATGCTGGACTATGACTTAGGAGATCTGGGTTCTAGTCCCCACTCAGCCATGAAACAGGCTGGATGACTTTAGGCCAGTGGAGTACTCACGGTGTAACCTACCTCACAGGGTTGTTTTTGGTTAGGCTAACATGAAGAAGAGTGTCTTGTAAGGTAAGGCCACTTGCAAGAGGAGAAAAGCAAAATTTAAATGTAATGTTTTAATAAGAATGCAGAATTTGAGGCCGATTTCTCAGGAAGAACCCCATTCCCTTTGATAAGTAATGCTTCAGGGCCTGTCATAAAATTAGCTCCTCAATGACTCTTGCTTGATTCTGGAAGATTTTACAGACACACACACACACACACACGAATGAATGAATCGTGATTGCATTTAGTTGCCACCTGTACTGTAGGAATGCAACCCTGACGTCGAAGTTAGCCCTACCTATATCAAAAAAAAGTCCCGGTACAGTATGCAGCCCAGAATTTTCTAATAGATCGAGAGTCGTGCCTTTCCATAATCAGGTCACAGGGCAGGATTCAGCCCGCTCTCCAGCATCCATGGAATGGCCCCGATAGGTCAACTGGTGGCTTGGAAGAAGGGGCAATCCCCTTTAGGATTTGCGCTCTCGGAGCATTTTGCGCTACAGAGGATGCTCATTGCCTTATGATAAAATGTGAAACACGTTGCAGCCGCGCATGTGCTTCTGCGGTAGCTGAGCATGAGCAGCGAAGAGACCAAACCCACCGTCCAGTTCAAGCAAATCGCTTGCATTTGCTTGATTACACCTCTGGATCCTCAGTGCCTCATACGGAAAGTCCGAGATTTTAATGAGATACTCCCTTTGGCTATTTCTGGAATTTGCAGAAGACCCTCCAAGCCAAATGCTTGGCTCATTAAGGTTGCACTCCTGTACACACTTACCTGGAAGTAAATGCCATTGAACTCAATGGGGCTTACATCTGAGTAGACATGCATAGGATTCGTCATTAAGCAACTAATAAGGCGACCAAGAAGCAAGGCTAAGAAAGTACAGGGCCACACCACTAAGAAAGCAATTGCTCCACTCCAACTTACGGCTGGACATCCTTCTAAATCCACCCGCGCGACTCGGGACTGTAAGATGTGGGTGCCCGGTAAAACCGAACAGCGCGCTCGGAGGTTTAGCTCCAACAGGCACGTGAGCGCCTATATTTCTTTCACGCGTCCACGCAGAGGTGTGGCTGGGGGTCCAGTTTCTGAAAGAACAAACCCGCCATCACCCCACATTCCTCATTCCCTGGGGCTCCCTCGGCCCGGCACTGGCTTCCAGTGAAAACATGAAAAGAGCCTCTGAGCACTGGTAAAGTTTCTGATTCTGTTTTTGCTTAGGAAATCCGCCTGGATCAGTTCTGGGCTTACAGTTCCGAGGGGAGGGAACACGGCTTCCCGGTAGAGCCCAGCCATCCTCTGGTCGGAAATGTGGGGCTTTTTTCGGTTTAAACACACATAGGATCGCGAAGCTGTAGCCCTATCCTCGCTTAATTCTGGGTGGACGTACATAGGAGCATACAGGTTGAAATCCCAGCTCCTTTTATTGAGCTTGCTGTCTGTCTCCACACACACAGCCGCAGTTGCGAGGCTCTGGAAATAATTGGTTGGGCTGATTTTACTCCGGTATTTGTGCCTTTTGAAAGCAAGTTGCTTAAGAGGAGATGCTGTCACTGGAAGGAAAACGCTTGGATTTTGGGGGGGGGGGGTGGAGGGGAAAGAAAGGACAAGCGTGGAAAGTGGAGAACTGCCATGAAGTTCTGGTTTTTAAAAGGTGGCCCCTCCTCCAACACCTTCCTCGTCATGCTGCGGGCCGTCAGGAGTAGTGGTTAGAGCACTCGTGCTGTTTCTGCCGCTCTCCGCCGCTGCCCCCTCGATCACCCCGGAGCGCTGCCTTCGCTACAAGCGATCATTTCGCTGGATTTCCTCCGTCTTTCTAATAACCCGCCTGGTATGCTCATAATGAAACCGGCGAGCTTTATTGCAGTCCTGATTCAATCAGTTAGGCTCGATTTAATAGTGTGCGAAAAATGTCCAGCTCCCCCTCCCCTTTCTCCTTCCCTTGCCGGCTTAAGCCTCCGAGAAGCGACTTCTGTTTCCAATCTCGCTCGGCCTTTCTAGGGCCGAGCGGCCTGGAAGCTCCAAAGACGCCGGGCTTTAGCATCTCCGCGGCGCTAAACCGTCCGTATTTGATCGGGTTTTATGGACCGATAAAAATCGATGGGCACCGCAATGACAGCTCTTTCGACTCAGGGCGAGCGCTTCCAGCGCGCCCCAGGCT